GTTTGTTCAGTGTTTTATAAAGGTCACAGATGTCAGAAGTAGGGGTTTCCTGCAGGGTCACTTAGCAGCTGTGTGACTTCTGGTAAGTTAGTTAACTTCATAAGCCTGTTTTTTCAACTATAAGTTAGGGTAGGCTCACATTAACTACTCCTTAGTACACATTAACTACTCCTCACATTAACTACTGTAGGAATAAATTATTCATTGACTCATTGTATACAGTCGGTGCTTCATAAAAAAGACCTTTTTAAATGTTTTTTACTGTGATTTTTAAAATGTTTATAAGATTCCTTTTCAGTTGTGCTTTGTATACCCAAGTTGTTGATGACCTCACCCTACCTTAGCATTGTAAGGAGTTCATGTGATTTCAAATGAGAAACTGAACAAGAGTATGGGCCCTTAGTTTATCAGTTCTTTTCATTTTGTAGTTTACTTGAATGAGCCATAATTCTAGATGATAAAAGTGATATTTCAGTAAAATTATAATCATTTATTACTTTATAAGCAACATTTATTTAATCACTAGCATCCAGTGGGCTCTAACCACTGGTAAATCAGCCCTTAAATAAGAAGGAAAAAAGGCTTCTGAGTCACTCCCCTGGGTGTTACAAGGTTAGTGCATCAAAATTCATGTACTTTGATTATACTTAGCCCTTCGAAGCCACACTCCAAGTCTGTTTATTCATTTCAGTTAGTGGTTGAACATTGGATTTCCAACCCACTGGTGAATAAATTAGAAAGAGATGCTAGAAGCAGGCATTTAAACCAAAGCCAGAGGATTCTCTAGGAGTTTGACAAAAAAGGGATAAACAAAAAGATGGATACAAGAACTCAACCGACTATATAGTCTGTTGAGCCAGACTATGTAGTCTGAAGTCTTCTGGTTGAAACTTTGACATAAAATTTCTTAAATATACCAGCCTGGTCGCCATTTTATTGTACTACAGAAATAATTGGTATTCATATTGGAATTCCTAATGCATCAGAAAAAGGTTTGATTATGTTGGGTTTTTTTTAGGTAAAACATATACTTTATTATAAAGATTTCTGCCCAAAACATCAAAAGAAACACTTAAATATTTTGGAGCTTAAAAAAGGGAAATAAACATGAACTTCCTGAAAAACTAGTACTGTAGAATACCCAATTACCCATGATACCACAAAAATTAAACATTACCTTATTAAATCTGTACAAATTTATGTTCTTTTCTATTTCCAGCACCATGTTAATAACCACAAACACATAATGGTTATTACATGCCCCAACTAATATATACTATGTTCATATATAAAATATATGTTCATCTGATCTTCATAACAACCCTATGAGATACCTATTTTTTTTCCATCCATATTTAAGTAAACCAAAGTACACAATGGTTAAATAATTATCTAAGATTACACTGATAACAAGCAAATGAATCAATATTTGGACCTAATTAGGCTGGCTCTAGAGTCATGCATTTAACCACTGCACTACCTACTCTTTAGGGCTCACTATTAGATCCTCTTGTATTAAACACATTTTCATTACATTGTTGGGCTCACAAAAAAATAAAATTCTCCAAGAGCATGTAGGCATACTCTTGTGTACTGTAGAGAATGAAAATTTTATCATCAGCTTTAAAAAATCACACTCAGGCATTCTTTTTTAATAAGCAAGCAGTTGAAGACTATCAAAGTGACCAGATAATTCTGAAAAGGAATGACAACCAAGAAACTATTCTCGAAGATGAAAAATATAATTGTTAAAATTATATAGACTAGCCAAAAGGAAAATAGATGAAATGACAGATCTAAAGATCAGGCCAAAATATACAGAAGAGAAACAAGAGTATATGAAGTAGTAAGAAAAAGAGAATGGGAAGAAAATTTTAGGTGTATATATATATATTGATAACTTTAGTTCTAAGGAGCAAGAAGAGGAAATGGGAAACAGGCATTATTTGAAGAGGTAATGACAAGAATTTTTCAGAACTGATGAGAGACATATCTATTTATACAGTTTTTTTACACAATTTTTTAAATACAGAAAGAGTATTCACAAAACAGGATAACATGAATGGACCTTGAAGGGATTATGCTGAGTTAAGAGAGTCAGGAGGAGAAAGACAAGTCATATGATTTCACTCATGAAGAAAATAAACCATGACTAAATATAGACTATAGGGCTGCCGTTTATACTCACCCTTCATCATGCCACAGTTGACTGAACTAGAGGTGGTGTCCTGATTTAAACTGGGTCAATCAGATTCTTTCTCCAAGGATTCTAGTCCTAGTACAGAACTCTTCATTGTTTTTGAAGAGATAGCCACCACTCTTATGAATCCAGAAAAGCAGGGAAAACTAACTGATCTGCAAATAGAAACTGAGGAATCCTGCTGAGAAAAGAGATTGTAGAGTGCGAGGGAGAGAGACTGAGAAATATGCTGACCAGAGACAGGAACCAGAAAGAGAAGCGAGAAACTGAAGTAGAGAGACAGTCTGAGAAATAGAACTTGTAGATCAAGATTGAGAGATTGAGAACAGAAATCATGTAGTGGAAGAGAACAAGAGAATCCAAATCAGAGTAAAGGCCTAGGTTCTGATGACTTTGCAGTTCCCAGTCCCAGTCCTTCCTGGACTGGGATGTCTACCATCACCCCCATTACTTGTAACCAAAAACCTCCCAGTGCAGTCCCACCACTTCTCCTTTGCTCCAACCAATCTCTTTACTTAAATCTCCACCTGTCCCTGCACTGTCTCCGACTTGGCTTGTATAAATCCTGTCAATCTCTCAAGATTGTTCTTGTCCTGACATTCCAATGATATATTCCTTTTTTACCCCAGCCGCTAGGGCTCTCTAAACTCTAGAAAACAAAAAAACTTCCTTGGTTGCTGCAGAAGCATCCAGGATAGAGCCTCCTACCTTCCTGCCTGCACCTTTCCTGCCTGCCATCTAGTGTTTGCTGTCATACTGTTCTTTCCCAGTAACTGGGTGATCAGCCAAAGGTATACAGCGGGCTGAGACTGAACCCCCAGGGCTTTTCGTAATGAACATTTTGTCCATCCACTACACAGAGACTCCACAGGGGAAGGAAACACCCAGTGAATCAGCAATTTGGTGAAGCAAAGGCAGCCTGGGAACTATGCTCTTAGCCTTGCTGAAAATCATGAACAGGACTTTAAAGATGGTTTAGATTCTAATCTAGATCAATGTTTTCATTGATAGGTTGAGGAAGATCAGGTCCAGAGGAAATTTACTTGAGCAAAATCACACAGCAGGGAACACATCTGCCTTGGGAAGCAAGATACTTAAAAATTAAGTGTTATGAATTCAGCTATCTGAATTGAGCTATCTGTCATGTGCTCCGAGGCATTTGGTTTTGCACAAGTAATTTCTACTTGTACCCCTTGCCCATGATAGCTACACCTTCCACAAACAGCTCATTCAGACCTCAACTTCAGACTTCTGACACCACATTCTCTAAGTCTGGTGCCACTATGTGAAGTATATTTTCTATACTCCTATTTATTTTTACACACAGTTTGGTATAGACTAGACACTGAATAGATGTTATATGAGTGAAGAAACAAGTCAAGTTCCAGATATCACCCACTGGAATCCATTTATTCAGGCCATAGTGAAAAAAGAAAAAGGGAAAGGCATGAGATGGAGCCCAGTCAGCCCACCTTTCCCAGCAACAATCTCTAAGTTTGAAGGGAACTGGTGGCCAGTTTGAAGCAGCACACACTCATTCCTGACGCAGTGAGGCATCTGTGCTGAGATAACTGAATGCTGACCCCAAGTAGTTAGAGAAAGCCTGTCCCTTGGAGGAATGGGATAGAAGCACAGTCTAGAAAGTAGGTCAAGGGGCAATCACAAGGCCACTAGGCCCCAGCTCTGGCTAGCCTCTCTTTCTCAGAGGACTTGGGGATGAAGTCTGCAGCCAGAAGAACTTCTAATTGATTAAGAACCAAACCCCTGGCGACTGGGCAGATGTTGATCCAAGAATACAAATCCAGCCCAGAACAGAGGTGGCCAAAAGGAGCTGCACTTGGGTAGTCAGGGGATCAAGGAAAGCATTTTGTCCTGATCACACATGATGCCCTCACTTCCCCCCAGCTCCTATGACCTCTTTTCTGACAGATTCTGGAGGAGTTAGGAGAGGTATTAATATTTCATCTTACCCAACCCACTGCCCTGACTGCATGCCTCCAAGATCACTCTGGCATCAGCCACTGGCCTCTGATTTACTATTTTAAACCAGACCTTTTCCAAAAACAAAACCCTGTCCATTTGGACCAGTTGTTTCACTCAAGGGAGGTGGTGGGTGTTGTTACACACAACAGAGATCTGGTGTCTGGAAATCCTGGGCTACTTGAGAAGAGCTTGGAATAAAAAGAAAAAGCCCACCATTTCTGAGTAAGGTCAGCCAGCCCAGCTGGACAAGGCAGCAGGCTAGGGAGGTGAGGAAGAGGACTGTAGAAGATCCACTTGGCTAACTTGCTGGACCCTGGGCCAAGCCATTGTATAAGCTCCTCAGTATTGGAAAGAAAGGGGAAAAAAGAAAATCAAGACATGTTTTTAGTTTTTGCTCAGGCGCCCAGAACATGCTCATAACTCCAGGAATCTCTGCTCCTCTCTGTGAATGGAAAATATGATCCATGAGAACAAACGACCTCCTGAGTGTGCGCCTAGTTAGCCTGGCCTGTAAATTAGGGCAGCTGGTTCACTTCTGTGGTTAATAAGTAGGATAGCAACCTCAAATGCACATTGACTAGCATCTGCTCTGGGCTTCTAGCAAAAGAACAAAAGCAACTGTAAAGGGAAACACGCTAACATACTTAACAGCATAATGTAACTGTGGATATGTCTGTCTGTGTTTCCAAACAAGATATCTGGAAACTCTTTGCAGGCTTGATGGAGGAACTGTGATTGCCCTAGATTCAATGGTTTGATATTGAATGCACACTAGAGTTCAAATTCAGCAAAGAATAAATAAGCTTTTCACATTTCAAGTAAAAATATTGTAGTTTATTTCTTTATTTCACCACCATTGATATGTGTGAGCTGTGATGGAGGCCTTGCTTACATCCTGTAGAGCAAGGCTAAGAAAAATGTTTTATGTAATTATTCATCTTCAACATCAGATTATCATGATCGTGGAGTTGGGCCAAACTGTGCAAATAAAAAGGAAGTACATTTCCACTGAGAGCACTAAATGAAGAACAGTCAAGGCCACAGAGTTTACCAGTAGCCGATTTCTCGTGTTTCTTTTAAAGGACAGGACAAAGGGGCTTTATTTCTCCATTTTGGATGCTATGATCAATTGGTATCATGGGACAGAAACAGTAAATAAAGGCATGAAGGAACAAACAAGCAAATTGCACCAGAACAGATGTGCTTAAATTAACCGAGTGACAGTTTGTGCTTCAGTCTCACAATGGCTGTCATGTGAGGTGGGGAGAGAAGTGCCACGAGACTTAGTTGCGCAGAGGCTGCTGAGCAACCCCTGGAAACCTCCGGGAGGTCACCCTGCTGCGCAGGCGCTGGCCAGCCCTACTTGCCCGCTGTTGCCTACTGGAGAGCACTCTTCCTCTGACAGCGCTCTGGGAGGAGGGGCGGGCAGGGGTGTTTTGGAGGTACTGGAAGGCACTCTGGCGGCCCACCTGCCTCTCTACACAGTTAAAGGTGAGGGCCACTCCCACGTTGCTCTTCATGACTCTGGAGGAGCCATCAGATGTGCCATCAAAGCATCGGCCAAGTGCAATCTCCTTGGCCACACGAGGGTCCTGGTCAGTCACAGTGTAGATGCCGTAGTTGTGGCCCAGTGGGTCCAGAGGTGCCAGCATGGTGTACTCACTGCTGTCATTATTGACTGCCAGTGGTAGGTGATTCACCAGGTACTCATGCAGCATGGGGTTTACATTGGCTCGATGGCAGCTGCCTTGGGGAATGATCTTCACCATTGTGCGATCTACACGATCCTGGTCATAGAGCATCCCGCTGCACTTGAACTCCACACAGGCAGATGAGACATTGGGCTGGTCCCTATCCCGTGTGCTCCTCACATCCCGGATTCCATACAGCTTTCCCACTGTCTGCCGGTGTGTGCCCCCCATATTGCGGGATCGCACATTCACCTCTAGTGGCCCCACGATCTTCACCTTGATGTAGCAGGCCCGGAACTCCATTGGCTTGGGCCACCATGCCAGGTAGTCTTCAGTCCAGCTCATGGGGTCATCCTCGTTGAAGGGAACTGTGTTGTAGTCATAACTATCCCCCTCAATCTGGTAGAACCGGAAGTGGGCTGCACTGGGTGGTGCCTCCTCACATTCCCGAAGGTTCTCAAAGGCATAGATAGGTCCATTGCTCTCTTCTGCTGAGTTGGGCCTTGGCTTGGCCATGCTGATCTGGAAAGCTGTCTTCTTAACTCGTGGGTCTTCATGGTCTGTCCGACGGTACTTGAGCTTGTTGAGGTAGGGCTGAGGGACACCAATTGCATTTGGGTTGAATTTAGGAGAAGACTCTACCGCTTCCAGCTCTTCTCCAGCCAGGCTTGCCAAGACATAGGCAGAGTAGGCATCTGGGGATTGGTCATCACAGAAGGCAGGCAGGCAGGCTCCATTGGGGCCTGTGATTACACTGTCAAAGCGACCCCAGGCCCTGGGGTTAGATGAGAAGCCAGTCCTGGGCTCCAGGTTGATCACAGAGACAACAACCCCCTGGATCTGCTCACTGGGCAAGAACCTCTCACTCCGGTAAGCCCTCACCTTAATAAAACACCTCCTGCTTTCAGGGACATCCAGGTTAAAGAGCCTCCTCTCTCGGATCTCCATGTTGCCCACTAGAAACGTTCTCTCTTCCCTCTTGTTCCGCCGTTGGCTTTCAAACTTGAAGTCACCTTCCTCCTCCCATAGCCCTGTGTCTGGGTTAAGTGACCAGAGTTTCATTGTGGGCATGTGCTCTGGCATCTTGACCTGGGCTGAGTCAAGATGGACTTTCACCTTGCCAACATTAAGTGACTCTGAGGTGGCCTCATCTCTGAAGTCCACAGAGAACATGCCATATGTTCGGAGTGGGAAGGTATCTCCTTCGTCAGTGATGAAATTCAGGTCACTCTGGGCAGCTGTGGCTGTGGAAATATTCCGGGGATCCAGGAAGGTCACACTGGCCTTTACTTTCCCTGTGAAGGGCTCCCCATTCTGCCTGTAGAAACTCTTGATGGGGATCTCCAGCTCAGCCATAGGGTCTTCACCAGCCACCTCCCCCAGGGGGATAATGTTGGTCTCCATGGCCTCCAAGGTGATGGGTTCTTTCTGTCGAAGCATCTTGATCTCATGGAACACTGCACTTCCCTTCTTGTTGAAGGGCAGAACTTTGGTGGTGTTGACAAACTTCTGCAGCCTGTCCACAAAAGTGAGCACTAGTCTCTCGGTGTCTTGAGGGACATGGAGAGTGAAAGTGCCCTTGTAGCCAGTCATGCTTACACGGTTGCCTCCCATGTACACATGGCCAAAGCGCATGGGTTCCCCATTGTCGGCTGCAGTGACACGACCCCGCACAATACTCCGGGTCTCTGTACACCGCTGACAGCTGCACTCTATGGCCACCTTGGTGGGCAGTGTATACCCACTGCACTGGATCTCCCTCTCCTCTGTTTTGGAGATGCCACAGCAGTTCTCCACAGCATCCCGGCACCTGATCCCATTATCCTGCTGCCCTGCACAGGTTTTAACAGGGCATCGACCCACATCATAGTAAAAGGAGTTTGTGGCATTCTGGAAACAATCATGGGGCAGCCGGATAAGGTAGCGTTCAGGGATTGGGTTGCAGGGGGTCTCATCAAGGTCTGTGGAGGGAAATGGTGTGGATATCAAACATAACAGTTCAGATCCTACATGAAGTATACCTCAACCCCATCTCTCTGTGGTACTTTCTGGTTTTCATAGTCCTCGCATATCCAATCCTGATTCTTACAGAACTCTTCTGAGGGAAGTAAGACAGCTAATAGTAATCCTATCTTATACCAGGGAAAAACAGTTGTTTGCTGAGACTGCTTGAGTCATCGCTCTCATTAGAGGGGTCTTGAAAATGTGTGAAGGTATTATGGGTTTCCACCAAAATTGGGATGCAATGACATACACTGGCATCTAGTGGGCAGGGCGAATTGCTGCACAGTGTCCTGAAAGGCCTGGCACTGTTCTACAACAAGACCTTTCCTGCATCCTGCATGACTCACATATCCCAACAGATATTCATGTAGACCATACGCCTTTCTAAAATGATCAGAGCCTCAGATTTTTTTTACATGACTTCACCATACATTGGATTTTTCAAGACTGCAACTGCCATGCAAATCATGTTAAGATTGTATTTTGTTTAGCTTGGAACATTACTAAGTTTGTTCTTTGTCTCAAAAAAACCACATACCTTCAACACTACCCAACGAATGTGAACCACCAAGATGATATTGCTATATCCATCAGCATTTGTAGCTATAGCATTCACCTTGTCGGGATTTAAGTACAAGTGTCTCACCTCGTGTTTGGTTTTCTCATGTCATTAAGCCAAATTTATATACTGAAATACATACTATTTTATATTTAAATTATTTTCTTTTTGTTTCTCCTTTATGTTATAGTCATGGTCATACAAGTATATATTTGGAAATTATATGTAGCTATTATCAATATATTTAACTTCAGAATATTCAAATTACTTATAATAGTTAAAGTATTAAAACTTTAGAGTATTAAAAGTAATAACTGTGACAGGGGCCCTCCCAGCGGGTTAAAGCACAGCACTAAGAAGCTCAAGCCACTGCAGCATGAGTTCGACCCCTGCTCCAGAGGTGACCCACATGTTGCAGCAGACTTCTCCTCACCCGCCCGCAGCTCTCCTCAGCAGTGTACTTCGTTGACCTGCCTGTTCTGCTCCCCACTCTGTCTCTGGTGAATCCTCTCACTGCCCCTGCACCTCTGGCTTGCACCCCAGTTCTGTATGCATAAATAAATAAATCTTTAAAAAAATGACTGTGACAAGCAAAGACTGTTGGTATTATGGGCTGGAAACAGCTGCTGAGGGCTCCACATCCAAGTGCCTTGAGTCCCGTCTGTCCTGAGCTCTATTGCTCAACTTTCTTGGAGTCTGTGAAACAGTCCAAAATCCTTCCAATAAATTTCTCTTCCTCTGTCTTTTGTTTGGTTTTGTTTAGGCCAATTACTAAGATATCCTCCTTCCCCCTCACTTCCCAGTACAGGTTCCTGATTGACCTTAGTTTCAAGTCTCTCCCTCTCCAGATCACTTCTTGGAGCCAGCTCTGTTCAGATCACTCTTTCTGGTCAAGCCCCCTCAGTTTCCCACTTCCAAGCCTCTGCTCAGGCTGGCCCCTCCTCTGAAATGCCTCCTGCCTCCCTCCATACACAAAGACCCTGCCCATTCTTTCAGATCAGGGGCTCACAATCTTGGCTGCAAACAAGAATCTCCTAGGGGACCTCTGAAACTATGCATGACCTGGTCATATTCCAAATCAATGAAATCAGAATTTCTGGGGATAAAACCTAAGCATTTTTTTCTTTATTTAATTCAACAGGTGACCCCAATGGGCAGCCAAGGCTGAGAACTGTTATTTAGGCCCCAGCTGAAAAGCCATCCATGATCACTGGAAGGTCTCTGTCTCTCATTTAGGGTGTCCACAATCCCTTAGCTCCTGTTTGAGCCTTATTTTTCTATCTTTACTTATTGTCTCTTTGCATTTCCTAACCTCTCCTGGGGAGGCTGCTGTGGATAGAATTTGAATTTTACACCCTCTTTGTTTTCCAGGGGTTATAAGACTAGTATGTACAGCACAGAAGTGCCTGAGTATTTACTTCCCAGTGATGTCCACTGCCCTTTGGCACACTCGGGATCCCTCGGGGATTACCTATGACAGGCTCACCTATGACAGTCAGCTGGGCAACCTGGGACTTCACAGCCCCTGCATCGCTCTGGGCCTTGCAAAAATACTCCCCAGCCTGATCCCGCTGCAGTTTCCTCAGCACCAGTTTGCTTTCGTGCTTGTACAGGGAGGGGTGCAGTAACGTGCCATTGTGATACCTGCAAGTGATGGAGAGGTGGAAGCTGAGAGGGAAGTAGGCGTACACATATCTCAAGCAACAATGCCAGGAGCAACAGCCAGGGAGATGATGGTGGGTGGGTCCGGCAGATGCCAACACTGCCTTGGACTCTGCTCTTCAAGATCACTGCCTGACCTGACACTTGATTCTGAGTTCCAGCCCCATGGAAGTAGAGCTCCCTAGCTGACTTCAGTGAATTGTTGAGAGGGTCAAACAACATAATGATTATGAAGGGGGAGACTCTGGCCTTATTTGTCTTTGTCAGGGGGAGGAGGGCTCAGAAACCTTTTTCTGAGTCCCAGGGATATGTTAAGTCAGGACCCCAAGACCAAACTGCTCTTGCAGCAGGACCCTAGCTTCAAGAGGACAGGGCTTGCTGGTCATCTGGGCAACCTCCACCCTGCTGCCTCCCAGGGGTAAATGCCAACTTCCAGGCTCCATATAAGTATTTACTTATAACTTTATTCTGCTGCTTACTGTTATATTTAGTAATCCCAGACCAACGTAAGAAAACTCTGGTTTCCAAGAGGAGAACTGGGTGAGGTGGGTGGCAAAATACTCACCAGAAATACTTGTCTGGACTGGGCTTTCCTGTGGCCTTACAGCACAGGGATACGCTCTGCCCAGCTCTCCTTGCTTTTGTCTCAGGGTTCATCACAATGTATGGGGTCTCTGGGATGGAAGGTGAGAAATGGTGTTTTCATTTTTCCTATGTGATAGATTCTCCAGAGTCTCGCTTCCTCAGGTTCACCCCCACCTCCAGAAAGCCCCTCTCCAAGGGAACGGGTCCCAGTGGAGTAGATGCCTACACCCTCAGCCTGAGACCTGCTCCTTTGGCCTCTCCTGAAGCATCTGGGTGGGGTAGTGAAGAGCCAGCTGGGTGTCAGCTGATTCCCAAACACAGCCATTGGGTCAGAGCTAGCTATTCTGAATAGTGCAAGACTTCTATTTTGCTTTCTCCAGCAGAATTTTCTGGCATTCTGCATGCACATTTCTGAATCCTCCCAGGCCCTTTCTCTCTGACCTCAAACCTCACACTGTATTGTAATTGATTGTTTTAGATAAGGTAGCCAGGGAGGACTGCTCTTACATTTGAAAGAGCAAGGCAGGCCAGCCTGGGGAGGAGGGCCAGAGGAAGGGTGGAAAGAGAGAACACTCCAGAGTATAAGGCAAAGGCAAAGGCGAAAACCCTGAGGCAGGAGTGTGCTTGAGAAACAAGTAGCAGTTCATTCAGACTGGCCTGGCATGGCTCAACTGGAAGAGGGGAGAGAAGTAAAAAAGGAGAGCAGAGAAGTAATGGGGAGGCCAGATGATATAAGGCCTGTGGGCCATGGTAAGGATTTGGGATTTTGCTCCAAGTAAACTGGGAAGTCAGCTCTTAGCACTGTATCCTTTTGTTTAAAAGTTCAGCCCACCTGCCCGACAGATAACTCAATTACCTGCCCTCATGAACTCGGCATTGATGGTAGCTGACTTCAGACTAGTCTTGGGCATTGTAACCAAAATGGGAGAAAATTTGGTCTTGGTGATCTTCAGTATGTTTTGGCCATCAGGGCACAAGCCAGGGATCCGGAACCTCCCATTGCTGTCTGTCTGGGTGAGTGGCTTAGGAGTCTTGGTCATCAGGTAGACAGTGGCCTTTGAGGCTGGGGCACCCCCCGGGAGGGAGACAACCCCATGCAGCATGAAGTCCTGGCACATGCAGGCATCACAGTCAGCATTCACATGGCCCATGGGGCAGGTCATGTCACAGTCTATGGAAGAAAGGTCAGCATCAGCATGGCTTATAAGAATTCTGACCCTCCCCCAGCCACATCTCAGCCCAGGGATTCCCTCACACTCCACCTTAGGCTTACTGCCTTTCCTATCAGGTGCATGACCAATTCTTCAAGATTTAGCTTAGGATACCTACTCCAGGAAGCCGTCTAGCTGTAACTGACACTACTCTGTGCTCCCACATCATCCTGTACTTTTCCCATTCCCATTCCTGTACATAACAGATGCTCACCTCATATTTGGTGAATGAATGAACCTGACTCAATCTGATTCACTAACTTCTTTCAGGCTTCAGCTTCAGCCCCATGACATGCTCCAATACCTTAAACAAGGATAATACCTGTACAGGCCTGGCCCATGCAGAGCCGGCCCTCCTCAGTGGCCTCACGGCACAGCGATACCGTCTCTGCCAAGCAGGTGCGTGTGCGGGTCTGGACCCCAGTGTGATCACAGGCAGCAGAACACTTGCTCCAGGGAGACCATGGGCTCCAGATGCGCTCTGTGTCTCGGCGCAGGGACCCTGCCAATAGGATCAGCAGACACCATAGGCGACTCTACAGGATATCTGCCCCCAAGGCTGTTTTTCCTCAGGTAGACAGGGCCTCTGTTTTTCCTCAGATAGACAGTTGTTGTTGATATTTATAATTACCACAAATGTAGATATCATATATCATATATGATGTTTCAATAGATGGAAGTCAAGAGCCTTGAAGAAGTGGTGGCTGTAAACTGCCTGTCCTGGAGAGGGGTTTGTTGGCCAACCCCTGGGACTTTGATATGTTGTCCCGAGATGTAAAGGGATAGCAGCTTTTCCCTCCCCACTAGTGTGGAAGCAGCCTTGTGCTCCTGCAAACCTCAGTGACACAAATATCAAGTCCCCTCTATCCACTCTTCTCACCTCCCAACTGAGGCCAATATGCAAGAGCAGGGGCTTCAGGCATGCCCAGGAGATCTTGCCCAGCCTGAACTCCAACTCCAAATGACCCCCACTGCCACCATCACCTACAGGGTCAGACCATGTATACTAGCAGAATCCCCAGGGGGAAGGGTGTCCATTCAAGAAGTGGACAGACTATAGCTGGCTCTGTATCATCCAGCAAGGAGAAGGAAGATGTAAAGAGAAAGAACTCTAGAAACTGCAAGCACAGACATGGATTCAAATCCCAGTACTCCACTTATCAGCTGTGTACTCACTGAAGTTATCTAACCTTTCCAAACCTGGAGTAACTTGTCAAAATAGAGATTTCAGCCCTCCCTGGTGGTGCAGCGGGTTAAAAGCACCACACTAAGAAGCTAAAAGCCACTTCTGATGAGTTCGATTCCCGTCTGCCCTGGAGGTGTGGCATGGCGTGGCCGACCTCTCCTGACCTGCCCACTGCTCCCCTCAGCAGTGTATTTCGTCAATCTGCCTGTTCTGCTCCCCACTCTGTCTCTGGTGAAGCCTCTCGCCGCCCCTGAACCTCTGACCTGTACCCCAGGTCTGAATGCATAAATAAATCTTTAAAAAAAAAATAGAGATTCCTTGCAGGTCATTAGTACAGGTTGAGTAATGTAGCTAACTAGTACAGGGTCTGAAACATTGAACTATCACTTCATGTACAATCACCCATGGTAATCCTCTGCATACATGATTTTATTTAAGCCTCATAACCCCTCCCTCTAAGGAATTACTAATCTGACCCCGGCCCTCCATGTGAGAAAACTGAAGCTCAGAGAACTTCAGAAAATTTGCCTAAGGGACACGGTTCAGGTGGTTGACCTGGGCTTCAAACCCAAGCAGCCCAACTCCAAAGCCTGTGGTCTTCACCTCTGTGCTGTGCATTCTCAATGGAGCAGACCAAACAGCCCGTAAACACACAACATGCTGGAAGGAAGGTTTCTGTGACACTAATGTTATTATGGAGTCAACAAGTGTGCGTGTGTGTGTGTGAGAGAGAGAGAGAGACAGACAGACAGACAGACAGACAGACAGACAACAGAGAAGTCTGAAGTTATCAAGGCCTGAGCCATTTTAGATCTTGGCCTCTTCCAGTGCCAAGACTGGTGGGAGGAGAGGTTGGGCAAGGGGGTGTTCAGACTCACCTGGGGGACAGAAGAAGCGAACAGTGTAATTGGAGCAATTCTGGCCTGACCGCTGCTCCCTGTTGAGGCACCAGAAGCCCTCATGAGGACTGCCATGGACCACCTGGCCCGTGCTGCTGGCAGGGATCCAGTCAGTAGTCCGAGCCTCTAGCTTCAGAGGCTGAGCACACACACGGTCCCCATAGTAGAAGCGAATGGCATCCAGTCGCTCATAGTCACCTTTCCCACCTGGGTGGTCAATGTTGAACCAGGTTGTCCACTCGCCAGGACCTAAGAGATACAGCCAGGTGGGGGACAAGCCAGGATCTGGAGCCCCAGGATAGCCCAGCTCCCATCTCCTGCTCAACCCCTAGGAGTCATTCCTGTACCTCTCATCTTCCCTCTACCAGTCTCAGACCCTGTTGCCTCTCTCTCCAATCTCTTATCCCCACTGACAAGGGTTCTATTAAAGCTCTCATCAGCCTGGCTGTGTCAATAACTTCCTGCCTGGTCTTCCTACCTCAGGTTCCCCTCAGGCCCATCCCACCTTTCCTCCACACTGCAGTCAGGATAAACATCCTCCATGTGGCTTGGGTCACACCACCCCCTAGATTTAAATGCCCTAGCCAGTCATTCAGGGTGCTGGTGAACTGTCCCCTGTTATCTCTTCATCCCCATCTCCCCCCTCTCCTGCCAGCCTGTGCTTTGGCCCCAGCAAGCTCTTCAGCATTCTTGGAATAATTCAGGCAGCATCAATAGTTCTGGGTCATCCTATATATTAGGTCCTGGTGCCTGGACAGAGATATAGATAAAATCCTTTGTAAAGGGGGTTTTCCTTGGAAGCTTGAGTTCATGCCCTTATTCCAAAGATTTTCTTAGCAAGCTCAGTAAAGACTCACTAATGTCACCTTTCCCTCCTCCCCCACGAGCCCCCCACCCCAACCCCACCCTCTCCCTGGACCCCACTTCAGCCACAACTCACTCTCCAGGGAGTCAGCAGGAAGGACGAAGTTGCTGGGGGCCCTCCTTCCAGGCCGGACTCTTCTCACTGACGGGGTGAGCATGGTCTGTCTCCCTGAGGGCCAGGAGGAGAAAAGAGGTAGAGACTGTCAGTTACAGGAGCCCAGAAGGTTCCCGATACCAGCCCTTGAAGACAAGGAAACATGTGATGTGGGAGATAAAGTAAGTGTTCAGATGCCCCCCCACCCTGCCACTTTGTGGTGGTATGATCTTGCAAAAACTTTGTTTCTCTAAATCAATCCCCTCTTAAATTGTACTGCTACACTATTAGGTCCTGGTGCATATTCAGAGTGCTAATGAACAGAAACAGCTGCTCAGTACATGCTCAATGAACAGTTCTCTTTTGTTGCAGAATTGGATCACTGGATGCGGCTGAGGTTGCTGCCTGGGGCTCCTCCTTGAGTGTTCAGGCCTGTCCTGGCAAAACTCTTATTTTCCTCATTTTTTAGGGAGATACTAATTCCACCTCACCACATGGTGGTCCAGTTGCCATGAGGATTCCATGAAGTGACATAAGTAAACATCACTGAAGTGTACAGACAGAGCCCATGAGCACACGTACCAGAGGTTCTGCCACTTCCCAACTGTTGACCTTGGACCAGATACTTAACTCTCACTCCTGTTCCTTCATTGTAGAATGAGGACAGTAACTCCTGCTCCAGATAGGATTGTGGGGATTAAGTAAAGTCATTCATAATCCACTTAGCATAAAGCACAGTGTTTGATGAATAAGTATTTGCAGCTCCCCCATGCTTAGTGTCTGGCAATGGACACCAGTCTCCTTTCCCTTGACAAAGTTTGGCTTTGGGAATCCACCTTCCCCTAAATATGGCCGAAGTGGGGCAGTGATCCTCAATTTTCTGAACCCCAGGCTGGGGATAGGGACCTCAGGCCACAAGCAGCTTCTAGACCTATCGCTGGAAGCCTGAGATTGGGTTGGGGGCTCCAGAGTGGGAAAGAGAAAGCAGAGGGCAGAAAAAGCTTTGAGAGGCAATTAACTCTCACATGAGAAGTCAACTCAGAATTCTCTGTGCTGCTTAATTGGGGTGAGAGAAGCTCTTTTAATCAAACTAATCTGATTTCCCTTCAGATGGATGAATGTTAATCATCTTCACAAATAACATCTGCCAGGGTGGAAGGAGCAAAGTGGGAAGTAGATACACACAGGATTTGGTAAAATGCTATCACAGCTTTTGTTCATGCATCTGTGGTCACAAAGCCTGCCATATGTGCAGCTTTAAAGGAGGGTTTTGAGCATCTTTTACTTTACCTGAGTATGTAGTTAAAAATCAGGAGAGGAAGGGGATGTGGAAGAAAATGTATAGGAGTGTGGTGCCAGGAACTCTGATGTTTAGGTAAGGAGGCCACCAGGCAAATTCTCTCTACCTGTTCCTTTGAGAACTGTGTCACCAGAGGGTGGGGTCAGAGGACAAGAAGTCCAGAAGGAGTTCTGGTGTCTGTGAAATGTGACCCAATATCAGTTGTCTGTGAATTTAGGGTCTAAATGAAATTGAGCTTTAGGCCAGAATTTTCATGAAACTAAATCCAGACCAAACCCCAAACCTGCTTCTGCGATCTCCACCCCCACCCCTCTTTTGCTGTGGCTGCCAGGAAGTTCAGAGCTAAATTTAGCACTCAAGGGACAGTAACCTTTTTTTCCCACCCTCCAAATGTCTGCTCATCCCTGTCCTCGTTCAAAGTTTCTGTCCTGTGAGCTTTAATATTTCAAACATCTCAAATTCTATTGGAAAACAAGCACAGCATAAATTATGAATAAATCTATAAACCAGCCGCAGGTGTTAAGGCCATTGCTGTGACTTAAAGCAGATGCATCATCGGATCCCAGACATGACTTCACTATGGCAAGTGGGGGATAACAAATACTTAGCCTGTACCCAACACAGAGGTGACCTCCAGGACCAGGAAGAACACCCAGGCCCTGGTCCCCACCATCTTTTCCCCAGACCCCATGGGGAATGTGGCAGGAGATGGATGAGGGTGTGTCACAGAGTCAGGCTGTCCCTGGATCGTGGTCCCCTAGGAAGTTGCTCAAAGCCAATGATCTGCAAAGAAACAAAGCTTGTCAGGTTCTACATTTCTGAGTCACCTCTTGTGGTGGGAGTAGAATTATTTCTTGACTTATCAAGGATGGAGAGAGGTAGACAGAATCCAAGTCTTGTGTGCCCAAATCTGGACAGGTTGGTAGGTACTGACACTCAGAATCTGAGATTAAATGAGACAGAACTGGATTCAAACCAGAGCCAGCCCCACATCAAGATGGGCCACAAGGGAATGTTGGGGTGAGGAGCTTCCTTGTCAAAAAGGAGGGGCCTGTGTTCATTTCCAGTAGCCTCTGGGTGACTCATTAATCATAACCAAGACCCAGACTTGGGGGGGTAAGTTTTGTTATCCTTTAGTGGGGATTAAACTCTTGCACAAAAGGTTTACATATTAAGGCTGTGAAGCCCTGGTCCGGACTTCAGTGGCTCCTGCTGGGGCAGGCAAGCTGGAGGGTACAGAGGCCTCAGACACACCACCTCCATGAACACATTCCCAGATGTGCACGAGCTACAGCTGGAATACATTTCGGGCCTGACCGAAAGGGACACACTCAAGAGCCTGCTGAGGATGAACAGCAGGAACACACTGAGAGGCCAGAGCAGTTCAAGAACTGATAAGTGCGAGGTAGGGAAAGCTGGGAAGCCAAGGTGTGCCTGGTGATAAAGATAACGCCCTGAGGGGTGTGGCTCAGGTTCCTGCTAATTTTTCTCTCTCCCAAGAAGTCTGGCCAATCCAGAATCTGACCAATCCCTGGAGATTCAAAAGTGATTCCCTTCAACCTCTAAAACCCAGGGTGTGGTAAGAAAGAAATTCTCTTTTCTGGAAAAAGAAGATTCAAACTCATTTGGCCGTCATAGGAAAAGAACAAATCAAGCTCATGCTCTGTGTCATCTATCTGAGTCCACCAATCCCACCACCAGCTGTTTCCCAGGGGTGTGGGAGTCCCTAGGGTCTCCAGTTACTGCGTGTCTCACCCTATTTCTGGGTTCTGAGCAGGGGAGCTGAGCACTCTGTGTGCTGAGACTGCTCCAGGGGAATGTCGGGAAGACCAAGGCGCCTTGTGGAAAAACCATTTTGCATCTGGCCACCCATGGAAGTTCCTTCAGTCTATGCTGTGCTGTGCGGGCTCCCCAATTCATGCTCCTCAGAACTCTTGGACAAAGCAGCCCGTCTGACCACTGGAAAGAAGCAGGCACCCATGGTACAGCGAGACCCTGACTGGGAACTTTTGAGGACCTCTGAACCCAAGAAAATGAGAGAGAGAGCTTTGGGCCAATAGGGGAAAAGAGAGAACTTCAAAGCAGAAAAGGGAGTCTTCTCTAAGGTAGATAAGGGGTGGTCAGGGAGGGTAGGAGCAGCTGAGCCTGGCTGGGGGGCGCAGGGTTGGGGTGAGAACAGCAGTGGAGCTCACCGTGTCCTGTGCGGAACTCCTCAGCTGGGGGTCCAGGTCTTCGTCTCTCCAGCAGTACAGCCGCTGGGCCTTATATAGCACAGCTGGTGGCTCAGCCAGTGGCACTGAGCCACGGGAAGCCGCAGCGAAACCAGATCTGAGCATGAGGAAGCTCAGCCTCCCCACTCCTCCCCACATCTCCGGCAGCTTGCAGAGGCCAGGATTTCACTTCCAGATTTTTAGGGGGAGATGCCACAGGGCCTGGGGATGAGCCAGGTAGGCAGTTGCCTGGGCTCCTCAGGCCAGAATAGAGATGGGTGGGGAGGTAGGGTGGGCATTGGGTGCAGCCCTGGGAAGGGGCCAAGGGAAAGCTATATCTGGGAAGCATTTCATGCTCAGGGGGTGGTGTGCTCTTGCCTAAGCTTTGCTTGCTGATCCCCCACAGTCTCCTGGCTCTGGCCATGCCAAGAAAGGATTTTGCTGGTCTTAGCACACACTCCAGACTCTCGGACACACAGGCCACCTGGGCTCTCAACTGGGGGTGCCTGGTCTGAGCTAGACAACAGCTCAGCCTCTCTGGCCTCTGAGGGAACACTCAAGGAATGTCAGAAGGAACTAGGAACAAGGGAATTGTGGGGCACAGGACATTACCTGGGGAGAGCAGTTTTTCCTCTCCTACCCTACTTCCATGTGGGTGCTTTTCTGTGCCCATTTGAGCCCAGAGCTCCTGCATGTGAACCCCCTGGGACCTGTCAGATGCTCATATATGTGCAGGTGTTTGAGACTTGGGATGCGGCACCCACTGCGTGTGCTTCAACAGCTCTGCCCATAGGTGGCGTCAGCAGCTATCTGTGCTTCAGAATTCTGTCTGCTCCCTCCACAGTGTGAGAGTGCCTGTTCTCACTGCAGCATTCTATAATTTTGGCATGCACAAGAACCACTTGGAGGGCTTACTAAAACAGACTGCTGGGCCCCACACCAAGTTTCTAGTTCAGTAGGTCTGAGGTGAGACCTGAGACTTTGCATTTCTAAAAGCTCCCAGATGATATTGATGTCACCGATTCACACAAGATAAAGTCCCAGTTGGAGGCAGAAATGGTGAAAGGCTGTTCTAGAATCCACAGCAAGAATTTCTGGGGTCTGCCTCATGTGCCTGGCTCATCCCACTGGGCTGGGTTTCCTGACTCATGCCAGGGTCCTGAGATGCGGGCCTAACCCCTCAGACCCCCCACACCGGCATCAGCTCACTCTTTCCAAACATCCTCCTTGAGCTCCTATTTGGGGCAGGCTCTAGGCTGGACACTGGGAGGCCACAAGGGAGGAGACGCATCCTTGTACACAGAGCAAAGAGCCTCACATGAAAATAATCCCACAGCACAGCAGAACAGCCCCTCATCTAGAAAGCCCTGTGTGTGTTTGTGTGTGTGTCTATGCCTTTCTCTGGATGTTTACACCTGTGCATATGCTGTGTATGTCTGTGTGTGTATGTGTATCTGTGTAAGCAGAGGTCTATGAGCTTTGTTTCCTCTGAGCATAGCCCTGGCCATGAGATACTGAGGGAGAAATTAGGGATGCAGAAAGAGTATGAAGCAGCAACATCTCCCAAGCAGACCTGGAGCAAAAGTATGAATGCCTTCTCTCCTAGAACCTGGTCTTCATCCACAACCCCCGTCCTTGGCCCATAAACCCCAGATTGGTCCAGTTTGATGTTGAAGCCAAGTCACACAGCTGCTTCAGTCATGGCTTTGAAGGCAAAGTCTAAAATGAAGCCTTAAGAACGCTGCTGGTCTGAGGACAGACAGACAGGGCCTGGGACACAATAAGCAGAACAAAGTACAGGAGAAATACAAGAACTTGGGAGTAAAACCACAATTCTGGCCCCCTTGCTTATTCTGATGGGAAGTAGTAGCCTGGGGGCCTCAGTGACCCACACCTGTACAATAGAAGTTTGAACTGAGTGAGCTCTGAGGTCCCCTCCAGTTTTGGCAAAATTTGAGAAAATGTTGACAACAATCTGAAGAAGAAAAAGGAAGGGATGACAGCTCCAAGATTCTGACCAAGGGCCAGGAAAGCGGCCAGAGAAGCAACGTGACAACCAGGACTGTGTAAGGAGAGCAAGGTAGACAGGAGAGGAAGTGAGGGGAAGATTCGCCAAAGAACCAAAGGTCAAGGACTATGTAACCAACTGCTTCCTCCACCTTACAGAACTCAGGGTGTGTAAAAGAAGCCGCGTACTTGCCTCCCAAAAGCACCCCTCTCTTCTCTTTCTGGAGTGGGAAGCATGATACTCTGTGGGAAAAGGTTTTGGCAAAATGAAGGCCTTTAGGCCACAATTCCTGCCTGGATAGGGCCCAAGGGTGCTTGGCCCAGCATTCATACTGAGGCCTCCACTTACCTAACCCCAAGTTGGCGTCATTATGGCTGGCACCAGGCTGAGGGACTGGGAGCTAGAAACCCTGGGCTCTGATTCCAGCTCTGCCATCTGTATTCCTCTAACTCATCTTACTTCTTGTCCCTCCCCATCAAAGAATCCTCTCCTGTCCCCAAGTAAGATTGAGCTATGAGCCACACAAAGCTATATGAGGGGAGGGAGGATCTGAATTTACCCCCACCCTTTTCTCTCAGGAATCTTTTGAAGGAATTGTTGCTGCTCTCTCCAGCCAGAACCCTTAGATAGACAGGACTTGGGAGGCCGCCATGAGTCTGGACTGTCCCAGGCCTGGCGTGGATAGGTCAGCTGGATGAGTGACCATCTGGGGCTTCTGCAGGCCAGGCTAGTGTGCAAAAGCTCCAAGCCCCTGCCTGGAACACAATGGGAACCCATCAATCACCCCCATCCCTGTCCAGGGAATGAGGGGCTTGGAGCATAGTTTAGCCAGGCCACCTGTGACCCAAGCCGATAGCCAGGGGTCCCCACCCTACTAGGCGAAAGGAGCTTGGGAATTCTGGGAGAGATCTGACTTGATCCTAGTGCCTCCAAAGGAAGGCTTTCCCTCTAACCCTGCCTAACCACCTCCTTGGGAACCCACCACTGCCCCCTGTGGCTGAAGGAGGTTTTGCAGGCTTGAATAAGCCACTGGCAAGCCCTGGGGGCTGGAAGCCTGGACTGCAGCTCCCAGTGACTATCAGAGGCCTTTGATCCAAGACCTGAGAGGGCTCACTCTTTCCCCACATTGTTCTTCCTGTCCTGGGTACAGTTCATCCACCTCTGTGCTTTTATAGCTTTATTCCGCAGTGCCCCACGTAGAAAAACAGTCCTTCCTCCCCATCAGTGTGACTATCTCCATCTTTGCTTCTTTTATATATTTGTTTGTTTATGCTTACAGAACTGGGGTACAGGCCAGAGGTGTGGTGGGTGAGAAGACTCAACAGAGACAGAATGGGGAGCAGAACAGGCAGATGGAATGAAATACACTGCTGAAGGGAGCAGCAGGAGGGTCAGGAGAGGTCTGCCGCGCCATGTGGGTCAGCTCCCTGGCGGGGAATCAAACTCATGCTGCAGTGGCTTCAGAGAGCTTCATAATGCGGTGCTTTAACCCGTTGCACCACCAGGGAGAGCCCTTTCTTTTCTTTCTTTTAATGGACCAGAAGTCTCCCCCCAACTCCACACACGCGCGCGCGCACACACACACACACACCTACCACGCCATGAATTCCTAGGGAACAGGCCCCAGCAGCTCCCTCCCACTGGTTCTCACAGTGCACTTCTCTGGGTGGAGCAGGCTGGCGCTTCAGCTGATCCCAAGTACCGTTCCCTTTGGCTTCCTCTATTTGCTGATCATTTTCTCTCACCCATTTCAGGGTGTTATTTTGGCTATTTGAGTGTTTGATGTGCTCAATACAAACATTAATTCTCCGGCAAGAATCTTGCCCTTGAGTTGTTTGTTTGCAACAGAGCCAGCTGCATGCTGGGTAACACTGCAGCCTCTTCCAGTTTTGCCATGGAAGTTTGCCATGGTGTTTGAACAGCACCCATCCTTTTGATGTCTACACTCTCACCTTTCTTGTAGAATTGTATGTATGTGACTATAGGAACAACTCTGTGTTTTCTAAGAGGCCTAGAGAATGTTTTCTAAGAGGCCTAGGGCATATGTCTCTCCTCTTTCCCTTGTGTTGGACACTTTGGTGACTTCCTGGAAAATGGTGGTTCTCGCTGAAAAGACCATATCTCGATTTTTCAAAGCCTCATCTCAGGTTTGTGCCTCCTTTGTTCTCCGACCACCCAGGTCCATCTTGATTATTTCTTCACCAATAGTAATATTCAGTGGCATGTGGGTAGCACTCTGTCATTTACAAAGAGCATTCATAGTATTATCTTATCTTAGGCTTCACAGTTAATCTGTAGAAAAACTCAGACGTAACATGTCTTCAACTCAAAGTGATTCAGTACACACCTTGTCATGGGGTCTTGGGCTCTGAGACACACCATGGAATCACACATCCTCTGTATGCTCCTCAGGGAAATTACTTCTCGAAGAGTCTGGCTTCACCTGCCAGGTACACAAACCCTGTTTCTTATATGTATACTAATACTTAAGATGTTCTGTCTAACACAATGCAACTATCATTCTGTGGATTAACTATGGCCACAAATTCTTTGCAAGTCTCTCATTATGAGATGAAATCTATTTACTCATTCTTTTTAACGAGATTGTCCTTGTTTTGAACAAAACAATACAGCATAGTGATGCTGCACAAACACTAGATTTTAGGCTTCAATATACCTAGCTGCCTTCACTCTCTGGAGACACTGTCCTGAGACCACCATATAAAAAAACTAGCTTTTCCTACTGGAGGATGAGTAGCCACATGGAGAAGTACACACAGAAGCCCTGGTCAACAGCAAACAGGAGAGTGAAGCTGTTTGGAACTTTCTACCCCTGTACTCACATGAGCGAGTACAGGTAAGACCAGCAGAGAAATGACACAGCAAATCCCCAGAATCATGAGAAACAATAAATCATCATTATAAACTACTGAGTTTTGAGTGTTGTGTTATGCAGCAATAGATAATTGATGTACAGATTAAGAAAAGCTCTTCCATTTTCAAGCGACAAAAATACAACTCTGATTTAAACAGAAAAAGAATCTGAGGGGT